TATTTTCACATCAGCTGAGACTGATGGGTATTTACAGATTTACATGTTTACCTGAAATTCTTAGTCCTGCATTTTAAAGATTTAGACTCCTCTTTAACATTTCTTAACTTTAATTATTCCTGTATTCATGTTTTAAACTTCCAGGTTTGTTTAATCTCTTAATTCTACTGTTTAGATTATTTTACAAATGCCCTTGAATGTGTTTTTCTTGCTCAGTCTGGTACATTAACCTCATTTCCTCATTTGTGTGTCTCACAATCACAACGTACACCTTGGAGGTTACTCTCAGTCATAAAGCCAGTGTAAATTCAGTAGTAAGATAGTGTTTGAAAAACAGTGGAGGAGTGGCATTCAGTCCCAGTCCAGGGTGAAGATAACATGCGCATATAAAGAGTTTGTAGGACAGAGGTAAACGCCGGCTGTCGACTCATTGCTCTCAGAGATATAAACCAGTCACTCCATTTACATCTATATCCATTTATTATCCATCATCAGTGAACAGCTTCTCAAAACAGCCAGGAGGCAGGAAGGTGGAGCTGAACGCAGATCAAACACTACTTTGTGTTACACTTATACATATATACAGTATATGTATATATTCTGTTAAAAAAGTGAACATAGCCTAAACAAAGGCAGGCCGGCTGCAGGGCTGCAACACAGTGGACACCTGACCGGTTGGATAATCATTTTTATGTGCTTTCCCTGTTATTTGAATTTAGTATCAGATATGTAAACAAGCCTGTGTTATTGTACTCGTTCTTTTCCTCATCACACGTTGTGCTTGCCTCAGCATCTGTCCAAGTATTCAAATCACTCTCCAAACTCCGGCCCACTGCTCACTTCCTTGGTAACACTGAAAACGCTCGGCCTGCAGACAGCAACAGGGGAAGACATTAACGGTCTCCGCTGAAAGTCTCGTTTGACCTTATCCGGTCTGATTGTCCTCATGAAAGCTCAAAATGCAAAGCTGACTTGTAAGAAGGGAAAAACACTTGCACCTGACAATGAAACCAGTGGAAACAGTAGAGGTTGGGAAAAGGCAGAGAAAACCCGGTCAGTGTAAAGTTTAGGCGTCATAAGACCCGACTGGTTGGAGTTATTAGTCAAAATCCGCTCCCAGCCATTGGAATCTCACACTAACCTTTTCAAGATCGTTTGTCGTGGTGTAAGAGGAAATGTGACGTCATGGCGGTGCCGGAGAAAAGATTACAGGGTCAACAAAGGGTTAGGGTCAGACCTCCGCTGCCCATTAATATACAGTATATCAAACTGTAGTGTGCCTGCAGTAAATCTTATTAGGACTGTAAGCCAGCGGCGTGCCATCACAACCAGCAGCTTGACCATTTAAAGCTAAAAATAGACGTAAATTAGAAGGATAATGAAGTGGAAGCGATATCTCTCTGTGAAGACACATGCAGATGTGTGTGGAAACTCTATCCTCAGTGTTAAGAGGAAGCAGTAGAAGGTAAATGAGCAAATTAAACTGTGATTTATCATCTCAAACCGATAAAAGTCGTCTCTTAATCAGCTTGTTCAGCATGTGTGATGACAAGGAGTGAAGCTGGAAACCTCTCACTAACACACTGATTCAATATTTATCGAATAATAATAAGCAAGCAGTTTAATTGTGTTCTGCTCTTTCGTTTTCATATTTATACATTTCCTGTTATTCCTGTTATTCAAGGTGTAGTGTTCTTTATGCAGGACCTGCAGTGAGTCTGAGAACAGTAGGAACAGCATAAATGGACATATGATAATGTTTAGCACCAGTTTAAAGGAAGGATCCTAACACTAGTTCAGCCAGAAGAAGACGTGCAGAAAGAAGCAGGAAGTACAAAATCATTAGGAGAGTTATAGTAATGTATGTTGTCACAAAGCACCAACACTCCACATAGTACAGCACAGTAAATACCTAAAGGTCTGATGGTGATAACATGGATTAAATTTAATGTTAAGTGCAACAGAGACATTACCTGCCAAAGGAATATTATACAAAACATGTCAGCTCCTTAAGAATACCATTAGGACCCATTAAGTCTTTATAGCAGGACACAGTCAGTGTAGGAAAATGATGGTAAACATCAGCTGTTCTGTAACAGAGGACACTATTCACTCATTAAATTAAACCCCTATATGAATGTTCAGGGCATGGACAAAATAACTGCAACAAACTGTTGAGACTGCTGTGTTTTAAATATGATTTTAAAACAGTTTTTAAGGTTGCAGTGTTGGACTGCATCATAAGGTCTTCATGTTACATTGTATGTATTTAATAGGCTTCCGAGTGTATTTGTTAACAGGGTTGGACTGGCCATCATCACAGAATCAGAAGCTAACAATTTGCAATTAGCATAAGGCTATGCCGCACTGGAGTCCAGGAACACATTAAGATCCCCCAGATAAAACTGAGCAGAAAAGTGCTAATGGCTAACAAACTGTTCCAAAAAGGTTCATCTTGTCTCCACTGCACTTATTTATGCTTTCAGGTGTTTTTTACCTTGACATGTTTCGACTGCTGCCTTCCTGCAGTCTTCCTCAGAAGAGTCACGTGATGTTGCTGTGATGTGTCTTATCAGCTGTTGTTTATATAAGAAACCAGCTCATGTTTGCAAAGTTGTCAATAACATTATGATAAAAACAAATTATGTAGGCTTTGCTCTACTTCATTTTGGCTATTGCTAACTTTATGAATGCGAGTGTAGTTTGGTAGCTAGCTAGCTAGTTATAAAGTCAATAGAGTGCTGAGATGGCGTGTTTTTGGCCAACCAGGAAGTTAGCATCATCCTTATTCCCTCCACAAAAAGCCAATGGGATTTTTTTCATTGTCTTTTGTGCATTCTTCACTAATGAACACTACTTTATGTTTATAGCCTAAATACAATCAGCAGAAGTAAAAAGTCTTGACCAAAAACCCACAGACTTCAGGATGAGGAAACAGGAAGTGCTAACATGCTAAGTAATTTCTGGTTGTTAGGACTCATTTGGCTAAAATTGGCTAAAACAATTAGTAAACATTTGCTAGCAGCTACCAAGCTAGCTCTGTTATGTTTTCCCTGGTGAATTAAAATATCTTTTAATGATGTTATACGTTGTCTTATACTTCCTTCAGCACTCTATGTTACTGCGTAGAAAAGGTCACAGTGGCAAGCTAACACCCTGTGCTAGGCATTGGCTAACGTGGGCTAAAATGAGCTAAAACAAATAGTAAACATTTGCTAGCAGCTAGCAAGCTAGCTCTGTTATGTTTTCCTTGGTAAAAATATCTTTTAATGTTTTCTCTGATACATTGTGGTATTGGAAGAATGTCATTATTTGTTAGCCCACATTTATCATTCTTAACAGTGAGTTAGCATTTAGCAGCTTTTGTTATTTATTAGCCTACAGGCTAAAATGTCTGTGTTTGGAGCTACAGCTTCTGTCTGGGTGTCTAGAAATGAAATTAGACATTCACGCAATTCTTTATTTTATTAAACAACAATTTGTCCTTTACCTGTGTATTGTTACCTTTACCTGATTGTATAATTATGTTATTAGTTATAGGTCTGTATATTGAGAAATCTGCTCTTCTAGCCTAATGAAGTGGAATGAAATGATTAAAATGATTATAAAAATGGATGTCACTGTTTTAGAGGATTCATTGAAGGATTTCACCTGCATCCTATAGATTACAGTTTATTCAGCGCTGCTCTGTCTGGAAAACACTGATTAATCACTTGATCAATCGTTTATTGTGTCTACTTTCTCTCTCTCACACGCAGGACTCTTGTTTTGGGATTCATCACAGTGGAGTTAACAACTTTGCAGCGGCGCTCTCTGAAGGTATTTATGCTTCCTCCCCCTTAATCCTCCTTGATTCCCTCTCACTCCTTGCCTGGCTTTAGTGTTTCTGGGGAGTGGCGGGGTTGGTTTACACGTTCAGGTGGGTGATGTGTGATGGATTGATTGTGGTAAGTCAACATGCCAAAACCTGATTTCTTTAATCCCAGTCCAGCCTTGTTTGTTAAAGTGGTATTGCTGTAATGTGTCTACAAACTGCAGCCATTCAAAATATGGTTAAAGAAATTCATAATAAACCTGCTGCTGAAATGATGCCTCAGGGCTAAAATGCTAATAAAGCTACAAAATAATAAATATTCTAATATTATAAAACAAAACGTGATCACTCAGCTGTATACTGGGACACTGTTGTACATTATGCATTTAGGTAAGAATGAGCTGCAGCTGTTTCTCTGCTACTGCATGGACTCTTCACACTGTGCTTCTTTATTTCCACTGCCGCGCGTGCACCCCAGCGCCTGCTCTCGGGTCGCGCGCCTGGTGGGCTGTTGGTGGTGAGGTATCCAGGAGCGCGCATTAGATTCTGAGCGTGTGCCCGTGAGAGCCGGTTTAGATATCAACCAACCAGCTCGTGAAATGGGTGGGGAGAACTGCCACTTTAATGCTCCTTAATGCTGCGTTCACTTGCGGCTCGTAAATCTCCACTTCGCCGAGTGAGACGGAGATTGTTTTAGTTTTTCAAACGGTTTTTGAATGTTAGTGGTTGGAAGGTGATGAGGAAATGAACTGGAACAGAGCTGTTTTTGATGAGGGTGGAAAGTGCACGAGGCATGTTTACGTTTACTGCTGCTGGCGTGTATTGATTTTGGATAATTCACACAGATGTGTCCAACTGATCATCTTCTTTATCATATTGGTGCTATCTTTATATTCCATTTAATGCCTTTTAACTTTTATTTAAACTCCTTTCATTTTTGAAGAAGCAGCTCACACAACAACAGCAGGTCCCGAAGATGAAACTGTGACGACATCAATGTAAAGTGCGAAACATCTTTAACACTGATGCATTTCAAAGTTCAGTTTGAATCAGGAGCAAAACCTTCATCTGAAGCCAAAAAAAACATGGCAGTAAACAGTCTATACAGCCAGCACGTGTACTAATTCCGATGTTATCTGCGGTCCGTGAAGGCATCAGACACACTGCTCTCCTGTTGCTTTGAGAGGAGGCAGGCCGGTGATTTTCCACTGCCGCTGATGTCTCCGGTCCCCCGTTTTAAGAGACAAATGTCAGAAAGAGAGGCTTATAAATAGGCTAAAATATAGGCTACCGACGCGTCCAGCCCTCAGTCGCTCTCACGGACACCGGAGGACACGGACAAGACGAACCGGACAAGGGACCGCGCTCAAAGGACATTAAAAGGACAAAATAAAATACAAAATCACATCAACAGAGCAGGTAACGGAATAAAACGACATCCTCGTTACACACCTATAAAGCAAAGACAGGGCGGGATTACTGCGCTGCTCCTTTATGATTTTTTATTAGAAATAAGATTTTGAGGCTTTTATTTGTGTCTTCATTGTGGATGAATGAGAGCAGGTTTTTGCAAACAAAGAAAACCAATTAAGAAGAGTTAATGCGCATTAATGGGTTTTTAAGAAAGAAACGGAGTGAACGGGCAGTAGTTGTGTTTGGTGGCTGTTGGGCTGCAGCTGCTGTGAATGTAAGGATGTTTCCTGGATGGGAATTTGGAGAAATGCTGTTGTTTCTCTGCGCGTGGAAGGAGAACTGGCGGATTTTGTCTTTTTTTCTTAAAAGCTTTAAATGCAGCACGAGCGCGGCTGATGCCATCACATGTTGTTTCATTTGTATTTTCTCTCGTGTGTTTGGCTTTGAAAGGATCTTTTTAATTTTATTCATATTCTTGGTTTTGTTTCAGATGTGGATCAGACCATTTTTAAGACTTTCTTTTCTTCTGCAGAGCCGCAGTCAGTTCATACATGTTATAGATTTGCAGTCTGTGGAAATTAAATGAATTAGTTCTTATGTATTATTTCTACTTCACGCTGCTTCGCCTGAAAAGGGGAAGTGAGGCGCTCGGCGCGGTGAGAAGGCGGGGATGCTGCTCGTCAGGCGCAAGTTGCGCATCGTGCGCTGCTTCTCCGAACCACGAGCCTCCCTCTCTCTCTCTCTCTCTTTCTTTCTCTTCTTCCTCATAGTCTCTCTCTACCTTTGTCTCGCTTCCTCTTTAACTCGGCCTCGGTGATTAACCACTTGTTGTGACAGTGAAGATGAGATGTTGGAAAGTGTCAGGAGGCTTTGTTTCAATATGCACTAAAAAAGTATCTTATATTTTGCACAATTTTCTGTTTTCAACATGTAGTGCACATCAGACATCAAATGCACCATTTCTCAAAAGCACATCTCTACGTACAGTTTGTTCAGCTTTGCCTTTATATGTATTTGAGTTGTCGCTGTGGGTTGTTTTCATTCTTGTGTCTGAATGTGAAAAAGTGTCAGAGTGTGGTGGGGTTGTGATAGCAGGTAGCTGGTTCCATTTTGGATCCGTTTCAACATTGGAAAATTACCCAGAGATGTCAGCGCTCAGAGCGTAACGTCTGACAGAATTTTTTTTTTTAGTGTAGAGCATCGCACAAAACATTCAGACAGATGATAAAAATGCATATTTTGAATTTTAGTTCTTGCAATTAAACTCATTTCTAATATTTAGACTTATTATCAGTGAAGTGAAACCTGAACAAATTGGATTCTGAGTTAACCCCGTGGTCTCCAACCTCAACCCTGCCTGGTTTTGAGGGGGACCATGTTTGCATTTAAGGGGGAAAAGGCTCTGATCGCTTGTTTACAGTCGAATTTTCATGGGCTGGATAGATGTATCACCCTCGCCCTGAGTCTGGTGTTGCATTCATTTAAGTGGAAATGGAGGAATTCTGTAGTTTTGCTTGGTAGTCTTCCTGTCAGTCTGTTTGTCTTTCTGTCAGCACTGAATGCTGCTGTATTAACTGCAGCCTTGTTTGTTGTTAAATCATTTATTAAGTCAGTAACCTGAGGTTAGTGGAATGTGTGTGTGTGTGTGTGTTGGTGAAATCTCAGCCACAGGCACGGCAGCATTTCCAGAGTAGCTTCTTCAGATGAAAACTGAGCTGTCGGTGACACAGTGAATAAAAACATCACCCAGTTATTCGAGCGGAGCTGATGCCAAACTTTTACGGCCGCGCGTCCTTGACTTCAGCTGCGGCTGAACCTTCACTACCGCTCTACATATTAACCAGCACCAGTCCCTGACCTGCACACTCGTCTCAGTACACAACGTCTTCAGTGTCATTACAGCTGCCCCTTTAATCTCATATGATTTTGTAAAACTGTGTTGCACTTGTAGCTTGAGCAGCGAGTAAACCGTGGTTGGCAGCTTTGAAAGATTCCTTTCACCTTGGCAGCTGATGTTGATTTACAGCTCGCACCAGTGGAGGGCCAGGCTTAATTCTGTAGCCTGATATCAAGTGCACATCTCTGTGCAGTGTCAGGATGATGGACGGGTGAATGTCCTCTTCAGGCTGTTGGACCTGTTTGCCAAAGAGATGTTGGAGCGTCCAGATCAGTGCATCAAAACTTGATCGTCAACTAGAAACAGGAAGTGGCGAGCAGAAGCACCTTGACAGATTTCATGGAAAGTTTGTTTATATGCAGTTTAATGACGACTGCTGATGAAGACCATGTAAAATCACCAGAAAGTTCCAGAACAAGCGAGTGGGCGGGCCTTTGGTTGAGTTGTTGGACTTCAATACATGATTCGTCCCCCGAACCAGAAGTAGGAAGTAGAAACTTTCAAAGTAAATATTTAATGAAAGGTGGGCGGACCGTTATCAAGAATTAACTGCCAACTCAACTTTCAGTTGGCGTGGACGAGAAATCTACAGTTTGACGACAACTGAGTGAAACCGATCCGCCACAACAAGCGAGTGGGTGGAGGTTGTTTTATCAGAAGCATTTCTACTTTATTCAGATGAAAGAAATTCAAATTATTCTTCACAGTGTCGAGTTCTATCTAAGTCCGAGAATCGTAATTCTTCTGGTATATAGGAGACAACTTTGCCTGAACAAATGTCGCTAACTGACTGACTGAGTGATAATATTACACCATTGGTCGTTGCTCTTTCAAAATGATTTGTCGTGAGCAAACAGTGCTGCCAACTCGGCGCCCTTGTTGCGACATAATCTTCTTTTGAGACCCTTTAACGGCAAATCTAGAAACTTCTTGGACAAACCATAGCTACTTCCTGTAGCTAAGCACAAGGTCAGGCTTTCCCGCCACAGACACGCCCCTCTCCGCTGACCACACGACACACGGACATGAGCGATCTTCTGCAGCTGAAATCTCGGCTCAGTCTTTATAAAGTCAGGACTTTAGCACCAGCTTGGACGTAACTGCTGGTTAACATGTCGTCTCAATGGTTCGTTTGCGTTTCAGTCACTGTTTCAAGCTTGTTCCGTTGTCGTGACAACAGAAACAGAAAAACATGTCAGTGAGAACGGCTTTATTTCGAATTCAGCTGAATGAGTGAGGAGGAGAGAAGAAACCAGCTGATACTAGACTGGATGATAACAGCCTACGACGTGGTTCAGTCATAGACCAGGTTTTGATCTTGTCTTATTCAGATTACACTGACGGAATGAGACGGTCCTGGTGAAACTGGCTGTAGTGTCTGTTGCTCTCTGCAGTGTGCAGTGCTGTTCTCCATGTCGCCACTAGATGGCAGCACTGAGAGCGATGGATTTGTGCTTCGTGCAGAATATCATAAACTTCCATCATCTGCTTTATAAAGCACTAATATGCCTCAGTGACTCTGTCCCGTCTTTCAAACACTCAAACTGCAAGCGCCATGCAACGGCAGCAGATACTGTGAGGGGAAAAATACAAATGAATATGGATTCATATGTAGATTTACAATTGATTCTGGTATTGCTTCAGTTGATTGATCATGAAAAGAAGAAGAAAATAACAAATCCAAACAACAGTAAAACTTCTAACGGTAATAACAACAGTGATAAGATCTATGGTTTATCTAAAGTCAAAGAAAAACATTTTATTCAGATCAAAAAACAATAACACCACTAAGAACAGTGTATATAGAGACTGAGGAATAAAATGAGGTTAAAAAATGAAAATAAATGAATAAATAACCAACAAGTTCCTCTGTTATAGCTCTACTGATGGTAATTATACATGTATTTAAGCGCCATCTGCTGGCGACGTCAGAGCACTTCATCTTTGTTTTTTAAGAATCTCATGACTCAGACTTACTGGCAGCCGAGTCTTCATCAGAGTCCACAGTGTTCGTGTGAAGTCAGCTATTTGTACTTCCCATTTCTGTAATGTGACATGAATACTGGGTGAAAGTGATTTAAAAAGAAAAAAAAAAAAATTAAAAAAGCTGGTGTATTTTTGCAGAACAAAAGAAGTTCCTGATAAACTGCAGCTTCAGGGTAAAAACCCTCCTGACCTCCTGGAAAGGTTGGAGTGATTCTGATACTTCACATGCTGAACTGTTGGTTAGATAATGGTATGAGAAGTCATAATGTGACAGTCTTAAGTGTGTGGTTTTGACGAATGCTTTGCAGTGTGTAAACAGGACGGGTGACCTGCTCTAACCTGAGCTGCAAAAAACAAAAAGTTAGCAAGAATCAACAGCGACTGTTGACTCTAGTTAGATAAGAGTGAAAGGCATGCAGCGCTCTGTTTTTAACCTTTTACACTTTATGTCCTGTTATCTCCGTCGTCTCTCACATTCACTCTGGACGTCTCTGTGCTCACTCTTTCATCTATTTTTGTCTCTGTCTGAGATACATTTAATTTTTAGTAACTGCTGTTTGTATCTGTGTCTGTGTGCCCCTCCCTTTTTCTTTTTAACCCCCCCTCTGATTTCCACGTACTCTTTCCCAGTTAACTTTTACCAGCTCCTTTTGTTCACCCTCTTTTATTCTGTCGCTCCCTTTTTCTCTTCCTCACTCAGTTATACTCACAATAACTTTCTCTAAAATGAAAGAGTAAAAGGAAAAGGAGGATGCAAAGGAAGGAAGGAAGGAGGTAAAAGAAAGGAATTTAAAGACGATGTGGAGAATGAGTGGGTGGGAGCAGATATTGATTAAAAGTTAATGAGTGAATGAACAAGAAAGAGGAGAGGAAGCAGAAAGAGGGATGGAGACGGAGGGAAAAAAGAAAAGTGGAGAGAGCGGGGAAAGAGGAGAGGAAAAGGGAAAGTAAGGAAGGAAGTAGGAAATAAACACAGACTCATTTTAAGACAAAAACATTAGACTCCTTACCCCCAGATTAACTCAGGCACAAGACAGTCAGAGCGGCAGCCATATTGTTTTCACGTTGTCCATCTGTCTCATTCTCGTGGACACGATATCTCAGTAACTCCTTCACAAAACGT